TGAGAGAGAGAGAGAGAGAGAGAGAGAGAGAGAGAGAGAGAGAGAGTGTTTTGGATCGCATGAAATAATGAAAGAAATGAACAAAAACATGGCGAAGGAGGAGTATTTTTAATGAGACTGAGCGAGTGTGTGTGTGCACGCATCTATAAAGTGTGTGTGTGCGCGCGCATCTATATAGTGTGTGTGTGTGCATCTGTATAATGTGTGTGTGCATATCTGTATGTGTGTGTGTGTATCTGTATAATGTGTGTGTGTGTCTGTATAATGTGTGTGTCTCTGTATAATGTGTGTGTGTGTGTGTGTGTGTGTGTGTGTCTCTGTATAATGTGTGTGTGTGTACGCATATGAACAAAAAAGCCTCCTCAATGAAAACTGTGCAACCCAGTGTCACAAAAAGACTTGAGTATATGTAATATATTTGAATTTTCAAATATGAAGTGTTGGATTCTTTCGATCATGATTTTTCTCGTTTTTTACTAAATATATCTATATATATTTTTTTTACATTTTTGTCTATTTAAATTCTGTTTACAAAAACATTTATGGTCAATAACTAATTTATTGAAAGCCATTTGTTTTCTGAAAAAAAAGACAATAGAAAATAGCACATTCTTGTTAATCTTAATTTCTTTTCTTTCAAACATTAAACCATAGAGCTTCTAAACCGGCGAGGCCTTCTCTTTTGGATTTATAAACTATTCTGATTACAAATTTGAGAAGATGTTTGCTGCATGTTGCATTTTCAGTGGCACTTTATTAATATAATAGCAACTTAAACTCACAGCAAGTTCGGAGCAGCATTTACTCATGGATATTGTATATTGTTATCATGAGTGGCTCACGTGTAAATTAACAGTGCTGCGCTTCACTCTTGAACATGTATGAACATAATTACACCACAGTCTGATAATCGCACTTACGCAGATTTCTACTCGCATTTGATGTTCATTTCAGGCCCTGTCTGTAAATATTTCCCAGCACTTCTTTATAACACACTGTAAAAACAGTCGGACCATCATGTACGTCGACACCTCAGTCAAAACAAACAACTTGCATAATATGAGTTGATAACACTGCACACCCATCGACACACACACACGCACACTCACCGTGAACACAGTGTGTATGAGAGACTCCAGACTCCTGAACCCAGAAACGGCAGAAACACTCAGACAAACCTGCCTCAGATCCACCGTATCATCCTGCAAACACACACACACACACACACACACACACGCACACTCCTGCTCAGTTGGATAAAAGCATGTAATGTGCTTGTCAATGTAAACTTGAATTAATTATTTGGAAGCTTTTGAACTAAAAAAGCAGCACAAACACACTCACAACTGCCTGATTATCAGGTGTGCTTACACACGAGGACTGATATTAATGCCAAAAATAAAACTGGTCAGTCTCATGTCATTTCAGTCACGTATGACTGACTTTCTGTTGTTTTTCTTCCATTTATTGTCTTTTGTGCGTCTCATAACCAAATGCACCAATTTTAGTTGGTTTTTACAGAACAACGACCGAAAGGGACAGTTAACCAAAAAATTAACAAGATATTTTGAAGCTAAAAAGAGTTGACGGTAGCCATTGACTTCCATACTATACTATGGAAGTCAATGGCTGCCGTCAACTGTCTGGTTACTGACATTCTTCGAAATATCTTCTTATGTGTTTAACAGAAGAAAGAAACAACAATGGTAAGTAAATGATGACAATTTTCATTTTTGGGTGAACTGTCCCTTTAAACGTGAGCGCTTTCTTCTTAAAGCCATGGTATGACTGTAGTGGACTTGAATGTAGTGATTTTATGGTCCTGTTATGATTTTATGGTGCTCGGTTTTGTCATGTTTGCTCCTGCAGATCTATGTTTGCGTTCCACACGAGGTTAATAAATAATGACAGACGAATGCTTGAACTGAATCTCACACTGCGGTACCTTTGAGTAAAGCGAGCAGATCTTCACCGCCGTCTTTCTGTCCTTGAGCCCCAAAAGAGTGGTCAGGTGATCGGCCGTTACTATGGTGCTCTGGCCTGAGTGACAGCTGTCAATCACGTTGTTCATCACGGTCTCCACACGAGCGTTAGTGAGACTGCAGATGAGGAGAACGAAAGAGGGTGAGACGAACGGGTGGAGAGATTCTAAACAAA